TCAGCCTGACAGCCTGAAAACCAGGGCCTACAGGCCCCGTGGCTGTTTTAGCCTGACGGCCTGAAAACCAGGGCCTACAGGCCCCGTGGCTGTTTCAGCCTGACGGCCTGAAAACCAGGACCTACAGGCCCTGTGTCTGTTTCAGCCTGACAGCCTGAAAACCAGGGCCTACAGGCCCCGTGTCATTTCAGCCTGACAGCCTGAAAACAAGGGCCTATAGCCCCTCAGGCTTTAGCCAGAAGCTACCTGGAAACTTCCCGGAAGCTTCCTCAAGCTTTAGCCAGAAGCTACCTGGGAACCTTCCGGAAGCTTCCTCAGGGTCTAGCACGTTTGGGCATTGGCAAGAGCAGCCTCCTGGACGGGCCAGCACTATATAAGACTGGCCCGCCCTACAGACAGGAGGTAGTTTTCAGTAGGCACGAGTAGTCTTCAGGAATTCAGCCGCAGCACTCAGGAGGAGCGCTGCAGTAGTCTTCAGCGCTAGTAGTAGTTAGCGCTAGTGGTAGTCTTCGGCGCTGGGCGCCCATAGCCTTAGTGGTAGTCTTCAGCACTGGGCGCTATGGTAGGTGGTAGATCGTAGAGTGGGAGAGATACTGGCGGAGGCCAGTTGTACTTACCTGTGGCGCCATCGCTCCAGCTCAATCTTCATGGTACCTGCATCAAGACGCCAACTTCACAGGTTAGTACTGGACACCGAGAGAGAGAGAGAGTTCGTCTTCTTCCTCTTCTAAGTCCACCATCTCTTCTCACCCTCTCGCCACCTGACTTCTCAGACTACGACAGAGAGAGAAAGAGTTGTGACTTGAGACTTGACGACATTGGATCCAGACTGGACATCGGGATTCAGACATTTCGACGAGGGACTATTTGGGCCTGTACCGAGACTTGGTGTTGACGATTCCAATCTTCCCCTCCTCTTTCGTCTAACCCCTCCTTCTTCGTCTGTGTATGGTTGGGGCTGGCGCAGTCTTCTTGTGTGAAGCGCCAGACCCCCTTCAYACCAGATAACGATGATGATGATGTGTGTTCAGAGCTGCATTGCAATATGGATTGTTCGGATCATTCGTATCTAAGTCTTCCGCTGTGTTATCTTGTACTTTGTATTGAGAGGTCGGTTCTTGTTCTGGTCTGCACGTTACAGTCCCGACAGTCTGCCCAGGATGCATTTGACTGATGGATAAGGACTCACCACATCGCCCAGAGTTAGCGATAACCCTGATAAACGTGTCTGAGAGTGAGTGAGAGAGAGAGAGAGAGAGAGAGAGAGAGAGAGAGAGAGAGAGAGAGAGAGAGAGAGAGAGAGTGTCGAGCTCAGGGCTCCACGACACAGCGCAGGGTGCTTCATGACATGGCGTACGCAAAACTGCACGCGACATCGGCGAAAGTTGGCCTAGGCGCTTCACACGGACCCTTCGCGACAGCCTGGGGCACCCACAGCAGTAAAAACGCGCGGCACTCTGCGGCGCTAAGATGTGGGCCTTTGGTTCGGTAGCATCCAATGGCCTGGATCTCCGCACGGTTTTAAGATCTTAAGACCGCGTGGAGATCCAGGTCGTTGGGTCCTACCGGACTGACGGCCCAGATCCTAGATTTGTTACATCGTTCCGCAGATCTGGGCTGTGGGCCGGTAGGACCGAAGACGGCCCAGATCGACTATTTGTTACATACTGCGGGATTAGCAATTTCTATAGTGTAGGGATGTGGTGTGGACTGTGAGGTTTGCGCACGTAGAAAAAAACTTCACCCGAACACAATGCCCAGTCATTATCTCCGTATGTGGCCTGAAAGCTGAAGTACAGGTACAATGACCAGGCGTTGTTACGACAGCAAAGAAGGGACTCTCATGAACAGATTCATGCACGAAGGGATGTCTTCATAGCTGCAAGCAGTAGCCGCACCCAAAGAAATAGCACAGCTCAATAGGTTGTGTACCTCGTGGTCACATAAAGACTTCACTCAGGAGGCGTAATTTTTCCAGCCCAGCAAGATCGATCACATAAGGATTGTAGGGTATCCGTTAGCCCTGCTGAAGGGTGAGGTTCCACAAGACCTGCAGAAAATACAATGCAGGTAGTATTTCTTTGCAGCACGGAAAACTCGGGGCCAGCTTGAGGTGCTGTAAAAGGGACAGCAATTCCAGGATCCGAGGGCACCTGCCCAGAAGTCAGGGATCTAGTTTTCTTCCGCAATGCATGGAAAAAGTTCGGGAAATTTTTCTTCTACTTCTTATTCGTCGTCGTCGTCATCTTCTTCGTCATCTTCGTCTTTTTCTTGTTCCTTCTTGTTCTCAACCATACCTGCTGGGATTTCAATCCCCCTGCTCACCACACTACTATCATCATCATCATCATCATCATCACCATCATCATCATCATCATCATCATCATCATCATCCAGGTGACGGCATGGTTTCTTATGTTCTGTTTTTCAACTTTCTACTTCTCTTCTTATTTGTTCCTCTTCGCCCCCTTCTTTGTCTTCTTCGTCTTCGTGAGCCATAGTTTCTATGTCCCTGACCCAACAAGATAACCCTTGACACCCTACCCCCCGTACATCGGTCACCCCATGAACCAAGATTCTCAATGTGGTTTTGAGGGTTACTCAACATCCCCGTTTGTTATTAGGCCTCTGAATACATGATGCTGCCCTCCCTTGCACCCCTCCCCCTCCCTCCCTGTGGCATACTGCGTAGCCACACGGGCCCTGCAGGGCCCGTCCCGGACATTCAGCCTAAAAGCCTAAAACTTAGGGCTTACAGGCCCTGGTCGTTTCAGCCTGAAAGCTGAAAAACGAGGGCCCGCAGGCCCTACTCCGTTTCAGCCTATTTCTGGGTCTTTCAGACCCAGAGTTTTTCCAGCCTGAAACGGAGGGCCTTTTTCAGGCCCTCGTTGTTTCGACCACCCCTAAGACTCAGGCACGAATACAGGGTTTCGGAACAGGCCAGAAATAGCCTGTTCCTCACGAGCTTGAGCAGGAGCTGCAGCTGCAGCCCCTGCCTCCCTTCGGCATTGGCAAGAGCAGCCTCCTGGACTGCTCGCACGAGTCAGGAGGCACACCCGGTAGTACATAGGAAGTTCCCATGCACTTCACGGGTAGGTAGAGTCAGAAGGCACGAGTAGTCTTCAGGATTCGGCCGCAGCACGCAGGAGGAGCGCTGCAGTAGTCTTCAGCGCTAGGCTGTAGTTAGCGCTAGCTGTAGTCTTCGGCGCTGGGCGCCCATAGCCATAGAGTAGTCTTCAGCGCTGGGCGCTGGTAGGTGATAGATCGTAGATTGGGAGAGATACTGGCGGAGGCCAGTGGTACTTACCTGTGGCGCCATCGCTCCAGCTCCATCTTCGAGGTACCTGCATCAAGGCGCCAACTTCACAGGTTAGTACTGGACACAGAGAGAGAGAGAGTTCTTCTTCTTCCTCTTCTAAGTCCACCAT